TTCTCCGACTGGTTTATGAATGTTATAATTCTTGACATCTGATTTGTGTCCATTTATTCTTTTACGCAGAGACTGTCCAGTTTGACCAATGTACATGGCAGAGGGGCATTGCAGGCACATGATGGCATATATCACATTGGTGGATGTGCAGGTATACGAGCCTCTGATAGTGTGGCTGATGTTATTAGGCCCTGTGATGGTGTCCCCTGAATAGATATGTGGGCACAATTGGCAACGGGCTTTGTTGCAAGGATAAGTTCCTGGGTTAGTGGTTCTGTTGTGTGGTATGTGGTTGTTGGTGAGTATTTGCTTCAGGTTGCGGGGCTGTCTGTAGGCAAGGACTGGCCTGTCTCCCAAGACTTGTGAGAGTGTTGGGTCATCCTTTAGGATAGGTTGTAGATCCTTAATAATGCGTTGGAGGGGTTTTAGTTGGGGGCTGAAGGTGATGGCTAGTGGCGTTCTGTTATTTTCTTTGTTAGGCCTGTCCTGTAGTAGGTAACTTCTGGGAACTCTTCTGGCTCTATCAATCTGTTTCTTTACTTCAGCAGGTGGGTATTGTAGTTGTAAGAAAGCTTGACAGAGATCTTGTAGGTGTTTGTCTCTGTCTGAGGGGTTGGAGCAAATGCGGTTGTATCGCAGAGCTTGGCTGTAGACGATGGATCGTGTGGTATGGTCAGGATGAAAGCTGGAGGCATGCAGGTAGGAATAGCGGTCAGTAGGTTTCCGGTATAGGGTGGTGTTTATGTGACCATTGTTTATTAGCACTGTAGTGTCCAGGAAGTGGATCTCTTGTGTGGACTGGACCAGGCTGAGGTTGGTGGTGGGATGGAAATTGTTGAAATCATGGTGGAATTCCTCAAGGGCTTCTTTTCCATGGGTCCAGATGATGAAGATGTCATCAATATAGCGCAAGTAGAGTAGGGGCTTTAGGGGACGAGAGCTGAGGAAGCGTTGTTCTAAATCAGCCATAAAAATGTTGGCATACTGTGGGGCCATGCGGGTACCCATAGCAGTGCCGCTGATCACTTTAGATAAGCTATTACAAGCAGGACAGTGGGGTGGGAGGAGGTATTTTTTCATATTCTCTGTGTATAAATAAAGTCTGCTGCAGTTTCCACGGCATGCATCCGATGAAGTGAGCTGTAGCTCACGAAAGCTCATGCTCAAATAAATTGGTTAGTCTCTAAGGTGCCACAAGTACTCCTTTTCTTTTTGCGAATACAGACTAACACGGCTGCTACTCTGAAACCTCTCCTTATCATAAGTCCTTCAACTTTATAGAGAGTTCTTTATTATAAGAAGTATGTTATCATTTGAGTCACACTGGAATTGCTGTAAAATTTAGAAACATACACCAAACACAATCATTTTACACCACACGGACGGGCTAAGTCTGATCTTTGCCGGGCCTATAGGTCTGTTCTCAGGGTGGGCCCATTTTCCATAAGCACCCTGAAAGCAACCTAAATGTTTCAACAAATCGTGCAGGCCAAGCTCCCCCGTGTCAGAGCAGGTGGGCCCAGCTGAGCTAATTAAAGGGCTATATCTGGGGCTATAGGGCATGTCTACATTACAAAGAAAACCCTGAGGCACCAGGTCTCACACAACCCAGGTCAACTGGCTCTGGCTCCTGGTCTAAAAATAGCCATGTAGACGTTCCTGCTCGGGTGGGAGCCCAGGCAGCTCTGAGACCGCTCCTCAAGTTTCAGAACGCGGGCTCCAGCCCAAGCGGGAATGTCTACATGGCTATTTTTAGCCCAGCAACCCGAGCCCCAGAGCCCGAGTCAATTGACCCGGACACTGAGACTCAGCGCTGCGGGTTTTTCTTTGCAGTGCAGACTTAACCATAAAGACCTGTCAGAGGGCAGGAATTGGGGGAGCTGCTGGGGCAGCCCGTGCCAGGGGCGAGGAAGCCATAGAGTTGCGTTAACTCCTCTGGTGGGTCCTGGGTCAAGGGGCCAGGTGTCCGGGGAGGTAACCCTGGGGCCGGCATTCCAGAAAGGGAGCAGAGCTGGCTGGGAGCAGGACGCTGGAGGAAGCAGGCTCACCAGAAACCCCTGAGAGGGGAGGCTGTGAAGCCCTAGGACAACGGGTGAGTGAAGAGGCTGGTTTGTTTCAGGTTTGGACCATAAGCCACTGGCTGCACATTAATTCTTTCAACATCACCTTGGCTCCCATCTCTGTCTGTCCAGCACAACCCGGTGCTGCCTTCTCCGGGAGGGTCACTTCGACACAGGACCCACCGGGTGAGGAGCTGGGGCGAGGATGCAGGAACAGTGCAGAGTCAACGGGGACATTCCTGAAATGGGGAGAGGGAAGTGGGACATGGATAACCCCCACTGCACAGCGCTGAGCCCACCTGCTCTCCCTGCCCAGCTGTGATCTTTCCTTGCCACCTAGAAGCAGCTTTATCGGGAGGAGGGTGAGCCTGGATCCCCTTTCCCATGGCTGGGGGCAGCTGGGGGAATACAGGGAGCTCTAGGTTCCTTCCCCTGAGCGGGGAGCAGCGGATGGAAGCACAGCCCTGTCGCCTTGGCTTGGTGGAGCAGCGTGGAGGGGTGAGAGGTGTTTTTTTTGGGGGGGGGGGGGGGGTGAGCACAGTTGGCTGCAATTGCTTCCTCCCCCCCAGTTGGAAATGTACCCAATTTTCCACCTTTACAGTTTTGCTCTGTGCACATTTCTGAGCCCCCCCCCCCCCCCCCCAGCGATACAGCAAATGTCAAAACAATCTGAGTCAGCATGGGGATTTTAGAGTACGTAAAGCCGTCATCTTTAAAACCCTGCAACGCTATAAATACTTTGTGCATCTGGACTCACAGACAGAACAGCAGAGCTCCCACTCTGCTAGAATAGAGACCTTTTTAATAGGCAGAGATTATAACAGCTTGCTCCGCTGAATACTGCCGGTTCAGCTCATTCTTCTTATCAAGTCACCTTGAGGTAAGCAGGTTCAAGCCATATAAACAGTTCAAAGTCTGGGCCCAGAGACTCACTGACAGGAGTGACAATGGCACACCAGGATCCAAGGTATGCACACAGTGCCTTTGCCACCCCCCAGGAACCATTTCCTGCTCTCTTCTCTTCCTTGTTACTTTCCTTGGCTTCTTCCGAAAGGTTAGTAGAAAAAAATCTAATCTAGATTCATAGATTCCAAGACCAGCGGGGACCATTGCGGTTATCTAGTCTGACCTTGATAACATAGGTCCTAGAACGGCCCCAAAATCATTTCCAGAGCAGATCTGTAAAACAAACAACCTAACTTGAATTAAAAATTGTCAGTGACGGAGAATTCACCCCAATTCTTGGTGAGTTGTTCCAGTGGTTAATTACTCTCACTGTTAAAAATATACACCTTCTTTCCAGTCTGCATTGACCTAGCTTCAATTTCCAGCCATTGGATCACGTTAGACTTTTCTCTACTAAATTGAAGAGCCCATTATTAAATATTTGTTCCCATGTAGGTACTTATAGACTGGGATGAAGTCACCCCTTAATTTCTCTTTGTTAAATTAAATAGATAGAGCTCCTAGGATCTATCCCTCTAAGGCAGGTTGTCCAATTCATTAATCATTCTCTTGGCTCTTCTCTGACCCCTCTTCAGTTAATCAACATCCTTCTTGAATTGTGGGCACCAGAGCTGGATACTGAATTCCAGCAGCAGTCGCACTATTGCCAAATGTAGAGGTAGAATAACCTCTCTACTCCGATTTGGGATTCGCCTGGATCACATGAGCTCTTTTAGCCACAGCATCACAGCGGGAGCTCATGTTCAACTGGTTCTCCACCGTGACTTTCCTAGAGTCACTGCTTCCCAGGATAGAGGCCCAAGTTCTGTAATGATGGCCTGCGTTCTTTGTGCCTAGATGTATACATTTATATTTAGCTGTATTAAAATGTATATTGTTTGCTCGCACCCAGTTTACCAAGCGATCTAGAAACTGGTAGTTTCTTGATTCTCTCGATCTGTGTGTGAGAGTGAGAGAGAATGAGCATGGAAGCCAGGGTCTGGGTAGTAACGTTGACTAAGGCCACGTCTACACTGCAGGTACTATGGCAGCACGGCTATGGTGGTGCAGCTGCGCTGCTATAATGCCATAGTGTAGATACTTCCTACAGCAATGAAAGGGGTCTTTCCATCACTGTAGATAATCCACCTGCCCCCAGTGAGGTCAATAGAAGAGTTCTTCCATTGACCTGGCTGCCACCACACCAGGAGTCAGGTTGGCATAGCTACAGGGCTCAAGGGTACGAATTCGCGCCGTAGCTTTGTCAACCTAACTTTTAAGCATAGACCAGGTCTCAGTGCTTGTCTACACAATGGTGGTTTATTCCGGCACATCTACTTCGCTGTAGCTATGCCAACATAATCCCACGGGGTAGATGCAGCCTGCAGTGCTGGAAGGGGTGTTCCTGTTGGCATAGCAACACCACCTCCCTGAACAGTAGCTATGGCAACAGAAGCATTCTTCCATTCACCGAGATCAGTGGTTCTCCAACTCCATTGCACTGTGGCCCACTTCTGACACTAAAAATTACTCTATGACCTCAGGAGGGAGGATTGAAGCCTGAGCCTGCCCAAGCCCCCACCGCCCTGTGCGGAGCGTGGGGCAAAGATGAAGCCCAAGGGCTTCAGACCCTGATGGGGCCTGTAACCTGAGCCCCACCACCCAGGGCTGAAGCCCTCAGGCTTTGGCCCCAAGCGGTGGGGAAGTCTAATGTCAGCCCTGGTGGCCCCATTAAAATAGGGTCGCGACCCACTTTCGGGTCCTGACCCACAGTTTGAGCACTGCTGACCTAGATGCATCCCCTCTCGCTGTTAGGATGGCATAGAGGCAGAGGGAGGTGATTTTTCACACCTCTGAGCAACAGAGTGAAGTCGACCTATGTTTTAAGTGTAGACTGGGCCTAAGTAGGGTGACCAGCTGTCCCGATTTTATAGGGACAGTCCCAGTCTTTGAGGCTTTTTCTTATATAGAAGCCTACTAACCCCCACCCCCGTCCTGATTTTTTACACTTCCTGTCTGGTCACCCTACGCCAAAGCAACAGTCTGTGGTTCCACAAGGTGTGACTTCTGCTCCATTATTCCTGGTATTCATTTAGACAGGAGTCATTCTCTGAAGCCGCCGACCACAAAGACTCCATCTGGAGGGCTTGAGTCTAGCCCAGACGCTGCATGAATTTGGTGAAATGAGGCTTAATAACCTGTCACTTCTCTACCAACAAGTAGCTCCTTAAGATCAGAAGTGTCAGCTCAGCGTTTGGGGCTCTGAATTTGGGGTGTAAAGCGAAATGCGCAGCCCTGGTCCAGTGCACATTGGATGGAGCAGCTCTGAAGGAAGGGAGAGGGGGGCTGTTCCATGCAGTGTGCACTGGAGAGTTTTTAGTTTCGTTTTTGGCTGGTCTCTGAGAATAAATCATTGTTGAGCTTCCTGTTTGCATGCCTAGAAGCAGTTTCCTGAGGCTGTGGTCCGTCTTCTGAGGAAGCAGCATGGAGGAGACGGTGAGAGATCATCTGCTGGGAACCGTGGAAGACCTGGGAGAAGAGTTTGAGACATTTAAATCCAAACTGAGTGAAATTCAGTTGCAAGAAGGCTTTGGAAACATCGCCTGGAGCACACTGCGGGTGGCAGACCCCAGAGCCCTCATGGAGGAGCTGCTCAGTTGCTCCGAGGATGAGAATGGTGTGGAGGTGACTAGGAAGGTGCTGAGGGCTATAAACCAGGAAGACCTGGCAGAGAGATTGAAAAAAACAACGGGATCTGGTAAGAAACAAGACCTGGAAGGATAAAACCCCTTCTCTGACTGTCACTCCTCTGCAACTTCCCTGCGTAGCATTTGCTTTGTCCTGCATTTGTGTGCATGCATGAGCCTAGATAAAATATAGATTTAATTCTTCATATACTTTAGGCATGCAAGAAGGTTCCAGAAAGTACTTCGATTTTAGGTGTATTTGTATACGTTTCGGGTAATCTTTACTCCCTCTTCAGCTCCAGGTTTTACTCTTTTCCTTCTCCTGGTGTTGCCGGCACCCAGTGCCGAGAGGCTGAACAACAGCTTGAGTTGGTTCGTTACCCGGTGTGCTGCACCCAATAATCACAACGGGGTGGAGAAACAGAAAAGTTTATTTGCAGCTGCAAAAAGGTACAAGGAGAATAAAATCTCAAATCCTGCACAACAGAGCAGGAAGTTACACAGGCTTTTATACATCCTTTTTCCCAGCATACTTATCCAATAGCAAGCTGCCCCAAGTATCCATATAGCCAGCCAATCCAGTTCCCAGCTAGTTCCCTGGTTCTCTGTATCATTTGTTAAACTATACATAAAGCTGCTTTATTCAGCATTGTTCTTCCATATCTCCCCTGTTTGGCCTTGCTTAGTTTCAGGCAGTCTGACTCTGCAACATATTGTTGCAGATTCTCAGCATAACTGCTGTGTGTGCCTCCAGGCGGGGGGGGGGGGCGCCAAGGACACCTGGGCCTAGTGCGAGGGGGCTTCATCGACACTCGTGGTCTTCCATCCCCTCGAGTTACCTAGTGGCCATGCCCCAGTGTCCCCAACACTGGTTTTCACCAAAAGCAAAAAAACATTTGGATTTTTCGCCTGTTTGTTTACATCAAGAGATACGTCTCCTCTGCTTAGTGAGCTTCTGTTCTTGCCACGTTTGGTACAAAGCAAAAAATACATTGATGTGGCTACACTGACCCAGCGAAGCTGAGAGTCTGCGTAAACAAAGAAAGGTGAGACTATGTTGCTCGGGCTAAACTACGAAAGTGTGGAATGAATAAGTGCCTCAGAGTGTGGGGGAAGTCAGGGCCCTGCACCCCCCACTTCCTGCAATTCACCGTGACTCTCAGCCAGCCAGTAAAACAGAAGGTTTATTAGAGCAATGCTACTCAAAGTGGTGGTCCGCGGACCAGTGCCGGTCTGCGAGCCATCGGCTGCCGGTCTGCGCGCATGCTGGAAAATAAAATTGCCAGTCTCCCACATCAGATCGCTTGAGAAGCACTGTATTAGACAACAGGAATACAGTCCAAAACAGAGCTTGTAGGTACAGAAAACAGGACCCTTCAGTCAGGTCCCGGGTTCTGGGCCTCCCCCCGTCTCCCCAGCCAGCTCCAAACTGAAACCCCGTCCTGCTGCCTCGCCCAACCACACACCCCGGCCCCTCCTCCAGCCTTTGTCCAATTTCCCAGGCAGAAGGTGTCACCTGGCCCCAGCCCCCTCCTGGGCTCAGTTCACGAAGGGCAGCCGCCATCCTTTACATGCTGGCCGTCAAGTATCATCCGTCAGTGAAGTCACCCCCTTGTTTCCCATCCCCATCCAGTATTGGTGCAGTACCCCAGGGAAACGGAGGCACGCCCCGTGTTAGTGGAAGACAAACTAGTAAAACTCCCATGCAACATTACCAGGTTAATACTCCCTACTCAGTCACAATAAGATCTAAAATAGGATTTGAAAGCAGAGTGAAAAATCAGAGGTGTCTCACCCACATAAATACACACATATTAATGTGGAATGTCCTTTGTCAATGCTGCAAAACGTCCGGATTTGCACTATGCGGGATGTACTTTAAGAACCAAGAATTCAAGAGAAATTCACTGCACCTGTCAGATTATTTTGCAGAAATTAGAGACTGCCTCCCACTCCTGGAGTTGGCTTATTTGTGTGGCTAGGAAAAAAGATGCATTTGAGAAATTAATCAAGAGGATCTTTAAGTACCCACAATGTCTTTCTAGGTGGTTCAAATCCACACCAGGAATCAGAGACTCACCAAGACCCAGAGATGGTGGGGGAAGAACTCCTTAAAGGTATTTTCTTTTATGAACGTTCCAGGTTCTCAAAAAGAGGACACTGCCAGAGTGGGGAGGGGGAGAGCAGGGGAAAACTGGGGGGGAGGGAGAGAGCTGGGGGCACAGTTGGGGGTGCTGGAGGGGGCATCTGTGGTGGGGGGTACTCACTGGAGGTGGTGGGCAGTGTCACGCCCTGTCACAGTAGCAGGGCAGCTGGTGCAAACCCAGGATGCAGCGACAGCCATCAGTTAGCCCCCCCCCCCCCCCCCCGCAGGATCCCCCTCCCCAGGGCTGGGAACCAGGGCCTGGGTGGGCAGGGTCTGGCAGCTGTGGCTTGCAGGGGAATGGACCAATCAACAGTGGCTGCAAGGAAGGGACGGACCAGTTGGGAAATAGACCAGTCGGGGATCTTTCAGAACAGCAATATCTGCTCTGCAAAAACCCTGGACATTAGAAAAATCCACCTGGACACTGAAAGGAGGTGGAAGGTTGTATAGGGAGCAGAGGCAGAGCCTGAGAGTCCCCCCTTGCACTGGACTCTCTCTCTGCAGAATGAAAATGCAGGAGGGGCCCCATACTACTTCAACCTCAGGGCTGCAAGAACAGCTGGGAAGTGATTCTTCTCTTCCACCCAGTGTGACCAGAGTCCCAGGGAAGCCAGCTGAGGTCACTCAATTAGTGTGAGCTGCAAAGAACGGGGCAGACAGTCGCCAAAGCTGGTGGATATTCCAATGCTTAGATTCACCAAGCAAGCATAAAACAGCTTCTATAATACCTCACTGGTTACCCAGAACCCAACAACACAGTCCCCTTAAAGTAACCCAGCCTCAGGCTTCCACCCAGACACCCAAGTTAAATATGAGGAGGATTACTGATAATCTTATTCATCATATAAAAAAAGTTCTACCAGTCCCAGAGGATCATACACATTACCCACCAGGTTAATGAATATTTCAGATCTTACCCAAATACACGCTTACAGCCAATTCTTATTAACTAATCTAAAATGTATTTAAAAAGAAAAGAGAGTGTATAGGTTAAAAGATCAATATATGTACAGACATGAGTGCAACCTTGAAATTCAGATTCATAGCAGAGATGGTGAGCTTTGTAGTTGCAAAGAGTTTTTAGAATTTAGTTCATAGGTTATAGTCCAATGTCCAATATCATATTCAGGGTGTTCCAGCTTAGGACTGTGATCTCAATCTTGCGACTCAAACTTCCCCTGAAGAAGCTTAAGCAGATCTGAGATGATAGGATCAGGACCCAAGGGTCTTTTATATAGTGTTCTAGCAGCCACTTGACCACAGTCCTGGATGAACAATAGGCTTTTGAAGTAACCTTCTGTTTCCTAAACTTCACCAGTAATTAACTACATGGATCAACATAAGATAATTTATCTATTAAGCAGCTTATCACAAACTTTAAAGAGGCATCTAGACAATGACATTATTGCACTCAAGATTCATCTAAATGTTAATATTCCCTTTTGATCTTTGAATCAGTAGCTATAGTGGCAGACAGGAACTGTCTGTTGTGACAGGGCAAGGCCAGATGGCTATAGAAAAGTAGTGGGAGATAGATATATTAGCTCCAGGCTAAACAAATCCCTGGTACCAGGATAAGTGAAATGGCAGCTGCTCCAGGTCAATTAAGACACCTGGGGCCAATTAAGAACTTTCCAGAAGGCAGGGAGAACGCTAGGTTGATTGGGACACCTGAAGCCAATCAGGGGCTGGCTGAAACTAGTTAAAAGCCTCCCAGTCAGTCAGGTGGGTGTGCGTGTCAGGAGCTGTGGGAGGAAGTTGTGCTGTTGGAGAGACTGAGTAGTACACACCATATCAGGCACAAGGAAGGAGGCCCTGAGACTGTGACCCTTGTCTCTAGAGAGAGAAGGGTTACGTGGAGGGTCACAGTGAGCCTCTGAGGCTAGCGAAATCCGCCAGGAAACGTGGGACCCACGGAGGCAAGGACAGAGCTTTGTCACACTGTTTACATGGCTAACATTTAACAAGATGAGTACACACATACAATTAGCGTTACCTCTAATTTCTAACAATATAGGTTTGCATTTCAAAGTTCTAGCCTATCTACCATAGAACGGCCTTAATTACCATTTCTAACATGTCTCTACAGGCTGACTCTGGGTCAATTAACCTGCAGGATGCTTAACCCTTTCTGGTCATGTGTTGCACTTTTTATATAAGATTTGTTACAATTATATAACAGTGGGAGCAACAGTGGTTTGCATGATCATACTCTAATTAGATAACATCACATCTAGTGGGAAAGGATTCCTACCTCCCCAGCCCATAAGTAACCTACCCTGCTCCAAGCCTCACTTGCTGCAGGGAAGGTTTTGGTCCAAATTGTTTTTTCTGTTATTATATCTCATAGCTGTGAGATCCTTGCACCAGATAACATGTGCGCCTAGATCCCCTAGGTGGTTTTGAAAATCCTTATAACTGTTAAAGATGTAGTTTCAAAGTTAGCACAACTTGATGCATTTAGCAATTGCCAACTTACTTATTTCCTTGTTTAACAACAATCAGTGAGCTAAGCATGGAGAAACTACCTTAGCAAGCAAACACCCTTGTTTGTACATCCTCGGTTCTCCACCAGCTTGGAACCAATTGGATCCAAATAGAAACACCCGCATTAAATGATGCAGAATTAAGCACAAGTTTTGTGTGCTTTGGGTTTCACAGCTCAAGTTGCAAAGAGCTGTCTGAAAGGATTTGCTGCTGTGACTGTCCTTTTATGAGGGAGAAAAGAGTGTGGGGGATGACTCATTGCAAATGTTCAGTGAGAGAAAAGCATAAAATCAATAGAAATTAGGGGCCTAAATATTTTTGAAGATTCTGGGGCTAAGAGTTTATTTTGGTTGGTTGGTTGGGGTTGTTTGCTTTAGTGGGTTGGGTTGGTTGGTTGGTAGGTTGGTTTCTTTAAATTTGCACAAAGAGAACAGAACAGGTTGCAAGGAATAGAAGAGGTAATGGAATAGAACTGAAAAGTTTAGCTTCATGGATCATTTCTTCATCCATTCATGCTCCAAAATCTTTTACGTGGTTTCTCCCTCTCTTTCACTCATGCTTGAAAGTGAAGACCACAGTTTTCAACACCCCTAGTGTGCACCAATGTTCAGTGTCAAAAGAGACTTGCCAAAAAAATTCTATATTTTAAATATCAGTTCTGAAACTTGCTCATGCTTTCACCTCTTTCTGCAGAGAGAAAGAGAGCACTCCAGAACCTCCTGGTCACGCTGAAGATGGAGCAGCACAGAAGCATGAGGCTGGGGTTGAGGGATCTCCAAGAAATAAACCAAGAAAATCTACAGAACTGGATTCCTCGGGCATTAGGGGATTTACCGTGGCATTTTATGAGGAAGGTCATGGCTTTGAATGGGACAGCCAGAAACACGAGCCTTGGGCAGGGAGCACCTGGTGACCAAGCCAGCAGCGAGGAGAACGGGGGACAAGGCGATGGTGGCAATGTTCTTCATCATAGCAACATGGATGCTAGAGCTTCTCTGAACCCCCTCGATGTTCTCTGTGCCGTGCTGCTTTGCTCAGACAGTTTCCTACAGCAGGAGATCCTGTCCAAAATGTCCATGTGCCAGTTTGCCCTCCCTCTGCTGTTACCTGCCCTCGACACCCCCAAGTGCACCCTACTGCTGTGGGCCATGAGGGACATTGTGAGGAAGTGGAGGCCCCACTCCCTGGCAGAGAGCAGAGGGTTCAGAGAGGAGAGCCTGGTGCTCACGTCAATGCCAACCATTTCCTTTGTACGGATGGGGAGCTGCAGCTTCTCCAAGTCCAAACTCCTGAATAAGGTTCTCAGCCCCTCCCAGCAGCACTATGATTTCTTCATCCATCATGACATGGAGTCTGGGAATGTCCCTCGGGAAGTTGCAGATGGGCTGGTGGAGATTTCCTGGTATTTCCCTTCGGGGAAGGAGAGCTCAGATCTTTTCCCAGAACCCATCGCGGTTACAAATCTGCGCGGAGACATTGAGTCCCACTGGCTGCAGTTCAGCTTTTTAACAGAGGTCTCCTCAGCAGTGTTCATAGTTACTGAGAGCATCAACGAGAGACAATACACGCTGTTATCATCTCTGCAGGGCTCAGCCACCGAATACTACTTCATCCTCAGTGCCCAGGCTGAGAAATGTAGTCAAACTCTGGGTTTCCTTAGTAAATTAGCCCCAGTGCTGAAACTGAACAAATTAAACGTGCTGGAGAAAAGCAACACCACAAATGAGACAGAATTTGTAGAAAATCTCCAGCACACGATACGAAGCATAATGAACTCCTCTAACAAGAGAGTAAATATGGAAGCCATGGCTACAGCAGCACGTGAATTAGGTGTCCTGGTAGATGAGGACTGTGAGGAATGTCAGAGCGGAAGCGAGTGGGCTAGAGAAATTACCATGAACATGAGAGATGTGGCCAACTGCAAGACAGAAATGCTGAAACTCCAAGGAGATCTGTGGAATACCTTGACTAAAGTTGAAAAAGAGCTGTGCAGAATGAAAGAACAAGGGGCTGTCCCTCCTGAAGACTATAAAGTGCAGCTGAAAGAAAAACTGTCAGAGCTTCATGCCCAGCAAAATAATTGTGAGCTTAACGATGGGCTGATTAAATTTATCAATGGACTAGAGCAACTGACTGCAGTCGAAAAACATCACTTCCTCATATGGCTGAAATATACGCTGGATCACATTGCTAAGGATGAACAATCCAGACTACAAGCTAAGTATAATGCTTTGGCAGGTGACCCACAAAAGCTAGAAGAACTGGGTGAATTCATCTCTGCCAGTTCCCTAGGGGTGGAGCATTTCATGCGTGAGCTGGGGCAGTTGTATGAGGCTGAACACGCGATGGTGAAGGAAGGCAAAAGGGCAGAAAGCGAAAAGCAATTCACCCGTCTCCCAGGCATAGCAGCTGACCTGATGCTGGAAGGGTTTCCCATGGAGCTGATCGATGGAGATGCCTCCAACATCCCACTGCAGTGGGTGACAGATGTTCTGACCCAGCTCCATGTCAAGCTGGGGGAAAAGTCCAGAATGCTGGTTCTAACGGTGCTGGGAGTGCAGAGCACTGGGAAATCCACCCTCCTCAACACCATGTTTGGCCTGCCATTTGCAGTGAGCAGTGGCCGAAGTACACAAGGAGCCTTCATGTCGCTCATTAAAGTGGCAGAGAACTTTCAGGAGGACCTGAGCTGTGATTTCATCCTGGTGATAGACACAGAAGGCCTGAAGGCCCCTGAAACAGCCAAGCTGGAGGATAGTTATCAACATGACAGTGAGCTGGCCACACTGGTGATTGGACTGAGTGACATAACCATTGTTAACATGGCCATGGAGAAAGTCACCGAAATGAAGGATTTTCTGCAAATTATGGTCCATGCCTTTCTCAGAATAAAGGAAATCAGGCAAAAACCCCAGTGTTTATTTGTGCATCACAACGTCAGTGATGTGTCTGCGCATGGACAAAACATGAGGGACAGGAAGCACCTCCTGGAGCAGCTGGATGAAATGACCATAGCTGCAGCAAAGATGGAAAAACTACACAAAGAAGTGACATTCTCAGATATTATGGACTATGATCCAGAAATACAAGATTGGCACCTCCCCAGCCTGTGGCACGGAGTCCCTCCCATGGCGCCAGTGAACTTGGAATACAGTGAGAGCGTGGGGAAGCTGAAGAAACACCTGTTTCAGTTGATAAGGATCCATTCAGTTGAGATTCCTCCCAAAAACGTCCCCCAGTTTATTGAATGGGTGAAGAGCCTGTGGAACGCACTGAAGCATGAGAACTTCTGCTTCAGCTTCAGAAACCCCCTTGCCACGGAGGCCTACAACCAGCTGTCTACCAAGTTTTCTGAACTGGCATGGGAATTCCAAAAGAAGATGCATCTCTGGCTGTCCGAACAAGAAACTTTCATCCAGAATCAGGCACCAGAGGAACTGGAGAGCGAGATCTTCACCCAGTTAAGTCGGGAAACCCAGGAGAAACTGCAGCATGAAGAAGACAAGATTTTTGAGTGTTTGGAAAAATATATAAAAGGTGGAGCAACAGCCACGCATATGTTAGAAATCAAAGAAGATTTCGTCAGGAGCACAAAAAGCACGACATCTACGTTTCACCGTTATTCACACCAACAGCTGGAGAGAGCAAAGAACAATAGAATGCGCCATGGTAGGTATTACAATAGCGAGGCTGAGTTCAGGCAAATAATTGAACAAGAGGTTGACAAGCTTCTGGAAGACTGCAGGAGTCGCGAGCGTAAACTGAACAATGAGGAACTGGAGCGGGAATTCCAGGCAATGTGGAGAGGGGTGTTGTCCGAGTCAATGTTATTTTCTTCAATGAAGCGAACCATTTTTCAAGAAATGCAAAGCCTGCTGGAAGAGGACCTGGAGGTTCGAGGGAGACTGATGCATCAAGAAGCTGGGAGCTTGCTACATTATTCAATGAGTTCTTTCACAATGAAAAAAGAACACTTAGATTTAGCATGGTCTGAAACTTTGAAGGAACTGTTCACAAAGGAAAACTGGCATAAAGCAGAGGAACTTGCTACATCCTTAATGCACCAGTGCTCTACTTACATTGATGAGAAAGCAAATTCCAAAGCAGACTATGATGAAATCTATTGCAGAGAATTGCTGTGTATGATCAATGAGAGACTCCAACAGGAGGATGTTTCAAAACTTCACACAAGTGGCTGCTTTGAAGTTGACCTGAAGCTTCACATTTTGGGAGAAGCTGCTCGTGTGTTTCAAGAAATCCATGATAATTTTATGAAAGAAACTGACCCTCAGAAAAGTCAGAAAAAACTTAAACTTCAGTATTTCTCCATCCTGAAAGATCTTTACCTAGACAAAGAGGTAAGTCACAAGAGAGCCAGGGATTTCTGTGACCAGTGTTTGAAGCCTGCCCTGGTGGACTATATGAATAAGAGGCTAGGAATAGCAATATCAGATGACATTCTCAGAAGTGGACAGTCCATTGATTACGCCAGCCGAGGCTTTTTCCAATTTACCACACAGAAAAAATTGTTGGAGGAAGATGATTTTTACAACTATGTGAGATATATTGAAAACTATGAAGATTTTGTGAAAACCTGGATACAGAGACACCTGGTTGATCACTACAGTGAAAACAAAGGCCTGGAAGATTTGGAGAGAGAGATTCTATCCACTGTAATAGAGAGAGTCAGGGGTGCTCTGGAAAACTCCGAAGATAAGTCTAACACAGTCTTGGCCTTTATAGACAACTTTTGCAAAGTGCTGCAGAAAGATCTGGTCATTTCCAAAAACAGCTTAGTGGGGATACGGTTTATAAACACAGTTAACACTGGGAAATTCACTGCTTTTATTCAGACTTCCCTTTCTCAACTGGAGCAACAAATCTTAGCTGAATTTAAAAATTTGGAAACAGAGTCTAAACTCTCCCTTCTGTCAGTGAAGCCCCAGGATGAAATCTTCAAGCGAGTGTTTGGCTGTGGGAAGCAGTGTCCATTCTGTAAAGTCCCGTGTGAGGCAGTAGGTACTGATCATAAGGAGCATTTTGCATCGGTACATCGGCCTCAAGGATTAGGGACATACCAATGCGTTGAAACAAACATACTAGTTTATGAATTATGCTCCTCTGCTGTGGTTTCCAATTGCATATTCCAATGCCCGGAGACACAATGGAAGGATCATCCTTTTAAAGATTATCGCACTATTTTTCCCAACTGGCGCATCCAGCCAGACCCCAGCATCAACGCCTCTGATTACTGGAAGTTTGTTTTTAAGGAGTTCAATCAAGAATTTGCTGAAAGGTATCATGCTGAACCAGCTGATCTCCCAGGGGACTGGGAAAAAATAACCAAAGAGCAGGCTCTGGAGAGCCTGGAGGAAGCATTCAAAATGAAATAACCAACATGCTGAGAAAATCCATGTAAATGGCAGTGCATTCAATTCGGAAGAACAACAATCGGTAACTTCTGTTACTTGTTTAATATTCTTTAAAAGTGTGTGTGTTTGTAATCTGTGGGAAATATGGAAAACTCCCGTACAATTTGCAGCTTTCAAATGGAGACTGAAAGCAAGAAAACTGGTTTTATTTTGCATCACGAAACTATGTGATACATCAAAATAGGAGTGCAACATCATCTTTCAAGGTGTGGCGTGACAGCATTGTGCATCCCCAAGGTTCACCGTCTCCCGATAAGCATCAAACATGCTCCAGTGGCCAATAAAAAGCTGTTTTTGTCTAACTGACAATCCTGAAAAACCTCAGCCCGGACTCTATGAGTTGTTCCCTTCTCACATCTCATCACCAGGGAAAGATTCTGCAGAACAAGTTAGGCCTGGACTACCCTTAAAACTTATACTGGCGTAACTGTGTCGGTCAAGGGTATTAAAAAAAACACACCCGCATATGACATAGCTATGCCGGGAAAAAACCCAGTGTAGATGCAGCAATGCCAACAGAAGAGCACATCTGTGGTTGTGGCTAACATGGTCCAGGGAGGTGGCATTCCTACACAAGCAGAAAAATGGAAACATCAGCATACGGTGCGTCTACACTGTGCCGACATTGGCTCTGTAGCGTAGCCAAAGCCTTCATTACAACTGTGCAACTCATTCTCTAATGGGTTGCAGGCCTTGTGTACACTTGAAAGGTTTGTGAGACATTTGCACCAGCATAGCTATACTGGCCAAGCCTCCTAGTGTACTCGGTTTATACCACTAAGAAAGTCCTCTTGCTAGTGTAGCTTGTACCAGATCCCCAAGCAAAAGAAGGGTTTTTGCCAGCATAGCTACATCAGCAAAAAAAATGCTACCACGGCTTCACAATTATTTATACCCCTGCCGAGCCGGCAGCAGTATGTGTCTGAGCTGGGAATCACCCTCCTAGCTTGGCATCCAGACGTAGCCTCCAATACACCAAAGGAACAGGCCAGTCCTGTAAAAAAGTGCCACTTTTACACTCCATTTATACAGCAGATCTTTGCATTTATCAACTACCCCTAAGCTCCCTGTTTTAGATGTAATCAAATCTTAATTGTCCGAATCCTAGCTAACACATTCTTGCTTATCCAAATTGGAGGCGTCTCCTAAACTTTGACATAAATTCTGATAGTACAGAGCACTTAATATTTGCAGCGCTGAACTGCTCAAGAAATCCAAAGGATAGAAGTTCTGGTCCAGGACAGAACTAAACTTCACAGACGTAGAGTGTTTGTGAAGCGGAGTTTGACAGAGCTCTTATACTCAGCAGGGTTGAAACTCTGGGTTTCTCTCCCTTTTTAGTCAGCCAGCACTGGGAAAGCAGATCATAGAATCATAGAATATCAGGGTTGGAAGGGACCCCAGAAGGTCATCTAGTCCAACCCCCTGCTCGAAGCAGGACCAATTCCCAGTTAAATCATCCCAGCCAGGGCTTTGTCAAGCCTGACCTTAAAAACCTCTAAGGAAGGAGATCAGTCTCTCTATAGTCACAAGTGTACAGATGTCAAAGCTGAGTAGGTCTGCTCACCTGATTGTCCAATGCTTTTGGCCATGAGTTAAATGCAATTGTAATACACAGGTTTTATTAAAATATAGTTAATAAAATGTGTGGAATGCTGTCTCTTGTGTACTGTGAAATGGTCCTACCTTAATCTTGGAAAACGTAGGCCACTTCACTCAATTCCTCCTTTTTTTTTTTTCTTGATAACGAAAGTCCAAGTAAACCAAAGTCTAAACAAAAGTCCAGCTCAAGCAAGGCTCTCCACGAAGGGTCTGTTCATCTTCCACTTCTTCTCTTGGAGTGTAACCACGACACATATGCTTGGTCCCTCAGAGACGAAGCAGAACTTCCATTCACCCTCTTCCATGAGTTCCAGCCTTGGGCCCTGGCCCTCACAATGTGCGTTGTCTAACTGTAGTGTATAGGAGCCTCCCTTTCAATAATCTTGTAGAGCTTCTGTCACATTCTCAGTGGACTCCCTGTTGTCATTTCCAAGCTGATGAATCTGAAATCTTCGGACATAATACGGAGTGCATGGGCATTTAAATAGTTAAATAGATCTGGTGTCTCTGTGGTTCCTTTATATGACTTCCGTTGTGCAAAGAGCGAAAGGCCCGGAATTTGGAGGCGAGGATGGGATCCTGTCCAGGAATATGGCAGACTGGAGTGTGACTGCAGGGGCCCAGTGAAACTGAACAATATTTCTGCTTTTAAGAACAGAATCCAAAAGAAAACAAGACACCGTCTAACTATCCGGCTGGATTAAGAACGTTGGCAGAACATTATCGTATTTAGGTCGACTTACCACAGCGTTTTCACAGCGCTGAGTCGACTGCCTCCGCTCCCCCGTCGACTCCGCTTGCGCCTCTCGCAGCGGTGGAATACTGGAGTCGACAGGAGAGCGCTCGGGGATCGATGGATCGCTTCCCGCTGATCTGGCGGGTAGTGTAGACCTGCCCACAGTGCAATAGGAATGCTTAGTGTAGTGCCAGAGGGATTTTAAGTGAGGTACGCGTTCCTGGCATGGAGAGCTGGACATGGTTTCTGCAAGCAGAGTGCAATAGGAAGCCATCAGCAATTGCACGTACAAATTGGTTGACTGTGTGAGAAAGTTGGGATGAGTGGGAACGGGGGTGGGTGGGTGGGTGGAGGAGAGATACGAGATGGTCCCCACACATCCCATTGTAGGCTTGAGTAAACTTGCGGATAGCTTGATTTGAGCACAAGGTTAAACTGTAAACAAGGGTGTGAGAGGCTGTGTGCTGGAGACGGTGTTTTCCAGCTACTTGCGATAACTGGGACCAGCCGGAACAGATATGCTTAAAATATACATAAGAACGGCCACAGTGGGTCAGACCAAAGGTCCATCTAGCCCAATATCCTGTCTTCCAACAGTGGCCAGTGCCAGGTGCCCCAGAGGGAATGAACAGAACAGGTAATCATCAAGTGATCCATCCCCTGTCGCCCATTCCTGGTAAACAGAGGCCATTGATGGACCTATCATCCATTAACTTATCTAGCTCTCTTTAGAATACAATTATAGTTTTGGCCTTCACAACATCCTCTGGCAAAGAATTCCACAGGTTTACTGTGCGTTGTGTGAAGAAATACTTCCTTTGGTTTGTTTTAAATCTGCTGCCTATTCATTTCATTTGGTAGCCCCTAGTTCTTGTGTTATGAAAAGGAGTAAATAACACTTCCTTCTTTACTTTCTCCATACCAGTCATGATTTTATAGACCTCCATCATATCCCCCCCTTAGTCGTCTCTTTTCCAAACTGAAAAGTCCCAGTCTTATTAATCTTTCCTCATATGGCAGCTGTGATAAATGAGGGGGGATGGGGGTAGCTCCCTTTTATGGACACCCAGCCAGCCAGTTAGCTATAAAATTCCTCTTGGTAGCTGTTCTCTACTTGCTTTACCTGTAGAGGGTTAACAAGCCCTGACCAAAATAGTGGGCACCTGACCAAAAGAGCCAATGGGAGGGCTAGAACTTTTTAAAATGGGGAAAAAAAACCCTTCCCTTTGCCTGTGTGTTGTGGTTCTCCAGGAAAGAGGGAAACAGGGAGCAGTTATGCTTTGAGAAGCTTTAAGCCAGCTATGAAAAACCATCAGATCCTACCTAAACTGAACCCCAGAAATGTAAGTAAATTCAGGGAATGCCTAGGAAGATGTGATTAGGAATTATTTCTTTTAGTTTTCATTGTGGACTCCTCCGTATTAACTCCAGATGCTTTTGTTTTGCTTGTAACCTTTAAGCTGAGCCTCAAGAGAGCGATCTTGATGCTTAATTTTTGTAACTTTTTTTTAAGATCTAGCAAAAAGCCTAAGTTCCAGATGTATTTTCTTTTTAATAAAATTTACCTTTGTTAAAAACAGAATTGGATTTTTGGTTTCTGAAGAGGTTTGTGTATATCTTGTTTCATTAGCTGGTGGCAACAGCGGATTTCCTTTGTTTTTCTTTCTCAGCTCTTCCCCGGAGCAGGGGTGAAAGGGCTTGAGGGTACCCCACAGGAAGGAATTCCCAAGTGCGCCTTTCTGGTTTCAAGGGGGTTTTTTGCATTTGGGTGGTGGCAGCATCTACCCATCCAAGGTCAGAGAGAAACTGTAACCTTGGGAGTTTAATACAAGCCTGGAGTGGCCAGTATTAATTTTTAGAATCCTTGCGGGCCCTCACCTTCTGCACTCGGAGTGCCAGAGTGGGGAATCAGCCTTGACAGCAGCCGTTCCATACCCCTAATAATTTTTGTTGCCCTTTTCCGAACCTTTTCCAATATATCTTTTTTGAGATGGGGCAACCAAACCTGCACGTAATATCAAGATGTGGGCGTACCATGGATTTTATGAGGCAATATGATATTTTCTGTCTTAGGTGTCACAAGGTGAGGACACAAGCAGTTGGTCCTTCCACCATCTGCAGAGTGACTGGTCCTTACATGAGCAATATGATGTCCAAACCAACTAGATTCAAGAAGTAGTAACTAGCAAAAACGTCAATAAATTGTGGAGTGTGAGACATGATTTGGAACTATGTTATCACCCTGTACCTAACCCCCGCTGCCTAATAAAGTAGGCTCAGTGACAAGCTGGAGTCGAACTGAGTTTTTGGACCCCAGAGAACTGGACGGAGCATTCTCCTGGAACTGGACGAGGTGTTCTAGATAACCCGAGTAGAAAAAGATCTCAGAGGGAATCCTAGCACCCCCAGCCACTTCTAATTCCAAACATCAAGTCCAGACTCTCACAACATATCCTACACTTAACCAGGGCAGAGGTGTCAAAAATAAATGTGTGTTAACATTGCCGGAGACAGAGTTCAGACTTTGCATTAGAATGCGAGCTAGCAGAATGCAATGTGTGCATTGTCTTCTTTTCCTCTGTTGATCGTTCATGGGAGTTTGTTCTGGCAGCGCACCCAGGCGGCACTAGCTTAACGTGACGTGTGGGTGGTATGGTAAGTTAAGTTAAGTATGTGTCCTTTAACTAGACATTTCCTTTTTTAATCCCTGGAATTGCATGGGGGGGTTTTGCACTTAAGTGACCTTAGCTCCAAACAAGGGTTTCCATGGTAGGATCCCTGATTCAAATAGGAAATAAAATCAGCAGAGAGGATCCTTCCCAAATCCAGTTCCAGGAACAACCCTTAAAAGGAAAGGTAGAAAGGGTGAGCAAGGCTATCTATAGCAGAAGAGGAGAAATAAGTGAGAGAGGACAGCTAAGATATGAGGATACAGGAAAAGACTGGCCAGGTTAACATCAGACAGGAGATGAGGAACCAGGTTCTCCTTTCCATGACCCCAGGTGTAAATCCAGAGTGACTCCACCCATGCCAGTGGAGCAGGGCCAGATTTTGATCTCAGGAACTCCAGTGCAAATCTGGAGTGACCCCATGGAGGTCAATGGGAATAGGAAAGGGAGTGAAGAGAGGACAGAGAACATCCAGTCTGCAGCATACAGGACAGTTAGCTGGCCCAGATGCTGGAGAAATATGCATGGGGAAATGGAGGGAGGAATTTACCCATAAGGCCATAAGTTTGGATGGTGCAGAGGACAAAATACATTAGACATGGAAGGAGACTTTAGTAGACATTCCAATTCACTTTGGTTGGAGGGTGAGTGTTGGGACATAAACAACTGAGGCAGGGGAGGAACATCTAAGTATGGTACCGTCGCCTGACGTCAGTCACCACTGCGGGTACCCTGATGCTTTTACACAGCCAATAAGAGGGGCTAAAATCGGGAGTAGCAGGCTCCATTTTTGAACAGATCATGATTTAGAACAAAGAAAAGCGAATTTCTACTTTGCCGTTCCCCTCTTCGCTCACTGACAGGAGGAAGTTAAACACACAGCTGAAGACGCCTGGCCAGGGTGACTCATAGCTGCAGCCAAACAGGACAAGAAGTATTGGAAGAAATCAACTCTGGCCATGAAAACAAAGAGCCCTTCTGAAAGGACAGTTCAGCTGGGGACCAGAGCAGCTGGGGACAGCACACGGGCATTTCCTGGTGCCGTTGTAAAACGGCTGCAAACGCAGTCAGGAAGGAGCAAAAAGCTTCCCTTTTGGTAGCTGATACAGCAAAGTTCAGTGGCCCCTAAGGAACAAAGTTCATCTATGGGGCAAACCACAGAGCAGACACTCCCTCTCCTTCCCCTTTTCACACACCACTCTAATTGTTTTCTGCTCAGGAACTCAGTTCCTGCTGCTGCTCTGTCAGAGAGACCAGGGACATCCTGTCAAACCAGTTTGAAAGACACATGTTGAATATCACAGAAAAGGATCATAGAACATCAGGGTTGGAAGGGACCTCAGGAGGTCATCTAGTCCAACCCCCTGCTCAAAGCAGGACCAACCCCCAACTAAATCAACGCTCAGCTGCTGATGCTGACCCAGAGTTTGGAGGCCTCTCCTGTGCCCCCACGACCCTGAAGAGGGATTCTCAAACTAGGCATTCCCCTACCTACCTGACTGGCGTGGCCCCGCAGGAGTTCTCTGCACACAGGTAGGACAAAGGACAGCAGGTTGGAACATGGTGTGAATGTCCAAGAGGTTAAGGCACTCCCCTGTGGTATGAGTAGGCTTGGAAGGACAAGACTTCTGTCAGTAAACAGCGATTTCACCATACGCACACAAGCCGACAAAAATATATTTCCATCGATGGTCATTGAAATTTACAGACAAACGTTGCATGAAAGCTTATTAGGGCTTGATTTGAGGCTGGTTACTTTGTACGTTTTGACATGAGATGTTGATAATTTTGTTTGAAGAGTTATAAAGTTTTAACTTTTTGAACCTTAACCTCAACTGTCATTAAATAATTATTGTTCGACCCTCTCCTACCGTCCAACCCCGCCATGAATAAATCATCCCCGGAGCCCTGCCATTGCTTGCCCAGGGCTCCGGCAGCAGAGCTCCAGGGACGGGGCTCCGGCCACCACTACTGCCCCGGGCCCTTTAAATGTCCCCGGAGCCTGCTGGGAGCTGCAGGTCCTTTAAATTGCACCTGCGGAAGCCGATCCACCCCGGTATGGTGCACTGGCTCTTGCCGGTACACCGTACCGGGGCGTACCAGCTTACTTTCACCTCTGGGACTAGACGACCTTCTGAGGTCCCTTCCAACCCTGATATTCAATGAGGCTGTGAAATATTCACTGGGGCTGAGAAGGAGCAAGACTCCGTGGCCCTGCGATTAGCACATTCACCTGGGATATGACAGAACCAGGTTCCCGTCCCTCGGATGTTTAATGATTTGTACAAAGCAGAGCAGCTCCAACAGGAGGGATTGAGCCAGGGCCAATGCGGAGTTGCCAGCAGCGTACTGGTGAGAGCACAGACCAGCAGTGTCGGAGCCCCCCAGTCAAGTCACTGCTCCTATGACTAGTAAATTACCTGTCACTGCAGGAGAGACTGGCTGCGACCCGCCCTGCTCCCATGAACGAGCTGCCCTCATCCTCCTGGGGGACGCCCACAGCACCAGGGCAAACATTCAGATTAAAACTCACTTCAATTTTGTCGGTCCGGGGGGGGGATTAAACATGGTTCCCCTCGCAGTGTGACCGAAGAGCAACAGGCCCAGCCTCAAGAAGCCCAGAGGGCGGGGTTCAGGGCAACCGAACCCTCAGCCGCGTACCTCAGTGGAGCGGTCTGTCTGCAGGAGGGAAGGGGCAAGTCGTTGGCGGGCTGGAGTCTGAGCCGGGGGCCTGTTTCCGGCTGGATCCCCTCCAGAGGGGCAAGGGTAGAGCTGAAATCCTGCAGCTGGTGTTTGGGGGCACAGGCCTGGGAGAGCTGGGGTCTGCGGGGCGCTCTGACGGTTGAGACCACCCGGGACGGAGAGGGATTTAGTTGTTTATTTCCCCAGTGGGGGGAGGGGATGTTAATTTTAAAAGGATCCCCTAGAAAACTGGATGGTTGAACATGGGCCTGTTGCTGCCCCGTGGGGGAGTCTGATCCCTCTGCATGGGGGGAGGGGAGGGGCGATGGAGAGCTGTGAGGCAAGGAACTGCGGACATGCAGGTGGTGGCTGGGGGGCTGCATGGCGGGGGGTCTTGCACAAGGGAGGCAGGCTGCAGCGGTGCTGACTGACACGGGGAGCTGTGGCCAGTGGGGAGCGCAGGGTTGCCCAGGAGGTCGGCCCCGGAGTTCGGTGCTGTCAGGGGCACAGATGTAGGCGTGGCGGGGTGGGGGTGGGAACAATTGCTGTGGGCTAACAGGGGTCCCAGCGATCACAGATAGGATCAGGACTGTTCAATATTTAATTAATGGCCTAGGATTACAGGGTGAAGAGTGAGAGGGGAAATTTACTGACACTACCAAATTATTTTGGTGTGGGAGGATTGTGAAGGGCTCCAGGCTAAAAGATGCAGATAACTGGGTAACGGGGCGGCTGGTGAAATGCAGTGCAGAAAGGGTGAGATTGCACAGGGGAAGGAACCGTTTCAACGGCGCGATAGGACAATATCAGAAAGCCAAACTAACCAAAATCCTGGCTAGAGCACTGAGGAGAGACTCCATCTACGGGACACAAGAGGGAGCCATTGCCCCATCCAGCCATCCCTTCCCTAACCCAAAGCAGAGACAGGCTATAAATAGGTTTGAAAGTACTAGATTATTATCAGTAAATGTGGGTAAACGTCGATTTCACCCTACCCGCACAAACCGGTGGAAACATATTTCCATCCATAATCATCGACATTTACAAAGAGGCAAAGTAAGAAAATTCCTGCCCTAGCATTTACCAGAGTTTGATTTAAGGCTATTGACTTTGCACACTGTGACATGTTTTAATGGTTTATAAAGCTTTAACTTTTTGGTTTCTGTTTTAATGGTTATAAAGCTTTAACTTTTTGCATCTCAACATCTACTGTCTTT